CACTGCAACCTCCGCCTCCCAGGCTCAAGCGATTCTCCTGCCTCAGCCCCCCGAGTAGCTGGGATTACAGGTGCGCACTACGACACATAGCTAATTTTTGTATTTTTAGTAAAGATGGGGTTTCACCATGTTGGTCAGGCTGGCCTTGAACTCCTGACCTCAGGCGATCTGCCTGCCTCAGCCTCCTGAAGTGCTGGGATTACTGGGCCTGCCTCAGCCTTCTGAAGTGCTGGGATTACAGGCATGAGCCACCGTGCCCCGCCTGGCCTGAGAGTGTGTTTTAAACCACAAGAGACTGAGGGGTCTTCAGGCAAGTTTGTTTCTTTTCAGCAGGTCTTGGGCCTTGAGGGAAGGGAAGTGGACTCTAGGAAATTAAACAACTCCCCACTTTTGTTCATCTGACCTATAGGGTGGATGTTTTCTGTTCCCTTACATAAGCAGCACTTCCTGCATTTGGCTACAGAACATTTTTCTCACACAGCATCTCTTGGGGCGATCGTTTCACAAGAGCCCTGGTGGTAAACACTGCCCCTCATCCAATGGCCGGTCTGGCCCCTGAGACTCCCAGGACCGAGCAGTGACCACAACATCTGGGTCCGTTGCCAGGGAAAACAGCAGGCAGGCCTGGGATGGCTCGGCGACCCCAGCCAGGCAGCCAAGTCCGCTTCAAGGTCACGCTGTGTTTAGAGTGTTCTCCAAGTGTGGGAGGCCACAGCAGGGCTGGCTTGTGGAATCTGGGATGCCAGGGTTGGAAAGGCCCCTACAGGACCCAACTCAGCAGCCCTTAACCCCTCATTCCTGCTCGTAGGGCCCAGGGACAGGAGGTGGCCTCCGTCGTCGCAAAGCCAGGACTGGCTAGGTGGGCCACGCCTTCTGCAAAGCAACAGCCAGGTGTGGCCTCAGCTAGGGGTGGTGCCTGGGGATTTCTGCAAACCACGTGACTTCTGATCACAACTTGACACAAATGCTAGAGAGACACAGATCTCAGCCCGTAACCACACTGTGGGCTCATTCTTGCAGACACAGCGCCTAGGACTGGTTCTTAGCTGTGTAATCACTAACAACCCACAACTTCCAGAAGCCTGAGTTTCCTCTTCCTTAGAGTGGGAGACAGAGTATCACATCCTGTATCTCCAATCCTTGAGGCCAGATGCATGTCACAGTTCCCAATTGATTTTTAGAAAGGTAATGGGGTGCAGGTATCACATACTGTATAACCCACCCACCCCTAGCAACCCTCCTCAGTCAAACATATTCATATTTTTGCAGTGACAGTGAATATTCAAATTAAGCAAGAGACATAAAAACCATAAGTGAATTCATGCCAGATCAGGTCAGGTTTTGCCACTAAATGAATAAATTATTATTTTTTTTTAAGTTTTCATTTTCAGGCCGGGTGCAGTGGCTCACGCCTATAACCCCAGCACTTTGGGAGGCTGAGGTGGGTGGATCACTTGAGGTCAGGAGTTTGAGACCAGCCTGGCCAACATAAAACCCCATCTCTACTAAAAATACAAAAATTAGCCAGGCGTGGTGGCGGGCACAGGTAATCTCAGCTACTGGGGAGGCTGAGACAGGGGAATATCTTGAACCCAGGAGGCGGAGGTTGCAGTGAGCCGAGATCGTGCCATTGCACTCCAGCCTGGGCAACAGAGCGACACTTCATCTCAAAAATAAAATA